CATTGGTCTGACAAATTGAATCATTCGCCGTTCAATTGCTTCGTGCGGATATACACGCGCGCGCACGCAGGAAGGTGCGTGCGTGTGCGTTGCGCGAGCGGTTGGATTGTGTGTGCGGGTGCGGATGCGGGACCGTCGAGTATCTGGTGTCCGCTGTTTGTTGCCACTCTACTGCATCGCCGTCAATGTGCCGAAACCACCCCTTCGCCCCTCCACGTAATACAGTGCCGTTGAATTAACTCGCGATCGAGCGTGCAATTTTGAAATTCATCTGCGAAAAGGCGAACGGCTGCTTGAGTCACTTTTCATCATGCTAATTCTCATCGACTGCGATACTTGATAAGATACATTTATAAAAATGAAGAATATTTATTTCTTCTCTCTCTCTCTTTCACTAATATATTATTATTTTATATTCATTTATATTTAACACTGTATTAATCTCATTTAAGAAAAGACTCCATCCCACCAGACCTCAATAAATGGTGATATTTCTCTCTCTCAATATTTTTGTAATCTTAGACATTTGTTTGCTCTAAACAGAAATCCTGTGAACGTTGATATCGCGTAAATAAAAAAATATATATTTTATAAATGCATATAACATTGATACTTTATTATTTACGTATATTACGTATTTTACATTCGTGGAATCGAATGCACGCTGCGGTGGATAATTAACCGCGTCCAGGCATACGCGACGAAAATTCACAAAATGTATACATATACGCGTGCAAACGCATCAGGCCGCGGCAATAATCATCCCCCCTGGTCTCTTCGATCTTTGACGAGAAAGGAATCGCGGCGGACGGCCATTCGATCGCGGCGTTGCGTGAAATTCGAATCGATCCATCCGATATAGAGAGAGACAAAGACAGACGGACAAAGAAAGACAGAGAGAGAGAGAGAGAGAGAGCGAGCGAGCGTATGCAGAGTGCAGGGCGGCCACATACGTGAAGCGGCGAGGCGTCGGCCGTGTGACGCGATCACACGGTGTGCGATGTGTGAAATGGAGCACGATCCCCTCTCTCCGGTAATTATATGTATCCTATCCCGAGTCGCTATCTCGCCTACCGGCGGCGGCGGTCGAACCGGCGCGGTGCGGCGCGGCGTGACGCGGCTCGGTGCGTCGAGCACGAGCTGCAGTGCATCGATGGCATGGCGTAGCGGCGTGACACAACCGCCAGCTCCTGTCTCCCGGACTCTCGCACAGAGCGAGAACGCGTCGATCCCCCGGATGCACCGCGTGCGTGAGCCTCGTCCACCCATCGACTGCATCATCATCATTCCCTCCCTTCCCGTCCCTTCCTGTCCCTCTGGTCCCGCGCGCGTTATAGCCGCGCTGTCCCGCATGGACCACTGATCCTTCGTTTCGATTTCGGAACGCGTATCTACCACAACGTGCCACACACTGTCCATCGATCTTTACGATCGACCCACGGCGCGTCGAGCGGGATTTTTGAGGGTGGAATTTGGCGCGGGTCCGTTTGTGTACGGTCGAAAGGGATTTTATTATCGGACGCTGGTAATGTCGATTGGCAACCGTTTCGAAGATGTATGGGATGACATTTCGGTTGCTTTTCGTCGTAACGTTCCGCGCTTGGTCTTTTTACGCCTTTAAATTCGGTAGGGTCACCAATCGTTTTAGGTACATATTAAGGCAGACATGAATCTGAAACGAATAGAATAAATAAATAATATATCGATAAACTCTCAAAGTACGTAAATTTATATTTTAATTAATATGATATGATTATATTTTTTATACAATTATTATCAAAAATCTCCTTTTATTTAACATAATATGAAACATGCACTGTTAAATTTATAATGTCAAATTATAACAATTTGAGTTATTTTTAATTATTTCTATAGGCCGCTGTTGCTCCTACTTAATATGACGTTAATTTAACTACACACAACGCAGTTAAACAATTTAACGGAAGAAAATGTATTAAATTTGACTCAAATTTAGTTTATTATTTACTAAGTGCATACAGTAACGTTTATTTATTCTGAAACTAATCACAGAAATAGATTAATTTACATGTTTAATACGTATGAGCGTTAAAAAAAAATAATAAAATGTTATTTTTTTTTTTTAACTTTCGGGAATCGAGTTACCGTTGCTCTTTTTGATATCTAACTGCGCGTTAATGCATTTCGGTGCATTCGAAGAGAGAGATCCGTGAGATCGTCTTAAATTTATTTATCTCTCGCGCGTAACGAAGCACCTCCAGTAGTAATACCGTGCATGTCGGCCCGTTATTATCTCGATTTGTGCAGACGCAGGCTATATGTTTACGACGGTGATATCAGTCCGAGACTGTAATCGGCGTATCGTTAAGCGGCATCAACGAAAATGACGATGCGCCTCGATACGTATCGGGCCGCGCGACGCGCGTAATGACAAGCGCAAATGCACGTAACATCGGCGATGCACGCTACACCGGATATCGCGTAGCCGGGCACACACGTGCGCTCTGGCGATGTTCCGAGGCGGAACGATTTCGCAGCATCGAATTGCGCGGCGCCGGCTGCACGTGCAATAGGCGCTTATTGCACAAATCACACGCATTATTGACTGCTATTGTACCTCTTCGGCCGACGAGCCATCGCCATTGTTCGCGTATTGCGTACCCTTCCTCCGGAATAAACCGATATAAACTTTACCTCTCTCGGAGATATTCGAATACAGAGAGCGGCAAGTTCATTCGATGATATTAAAACATTTCAAGAAACTCTCTTGTATATCGCTTTTATATATTTTTTTATTATACATTAGTTTTACGGAAACAAAGAAAGCTGTATTTTAAAGATTAATTATGGAGAAGATTTATTTATTATCAATCCTTAATTACCACAATCGAAAAGTATCCTAATTTATACATATAGAAGTCGCCGAATTTTTTTCCGCTGTCATCCATAAAAATTTCAATTAATTTTAATTGATTTTTTTCCAAAACGTTGAACTGTATAGAATCCAAATTAGTAAACAAAAAAGATTTTAAATAATGTTAAAAATTATGTTTAAAAACGTAAGGAAGAGGTTTACAGAAATGTACGTTCGAATCCAAAAGGTTCAATGCTGTAGTCGACGGTTAAGATGACTGGTAGATTATTATAGAACTTTGCGTCTGTTTTAAAAGTTAGGATCAATTCCGAGACTCAGCCAGCCATCCTTTTAGTCGCGTAGAACAGAACTTTATACAAAGACGACGCGACGCGCCGTTATAAATGTCAGATGGTAGCACTCGAGCAATCGGAGCAGCGCGAGAGACGTGTCATGCAAGTCGATCGTAAAGCCGGCAGGAGGTATCGTCCAAGTAAATAAATCTTCATGCCCGGGACCACTTCCTCGAAAGAAAACACGGTGGGAGGCAGGCAGTTCATCTGACTTGCAGGTCGAACGGCGTCGATGGATCGAGTGCCCTTCGAGTGCTCTCGGTCCCGACTTCGGGATATCTTCGAGGGGTCGAACGGGAGCCGCTCGAGGTCCGCAGGTCAGACACTCCTGAACGGATTTAGGCAGGAAAAGCCTCGCGGCAGGCACTCCATTCGGAGCCACAAACAGACGCGAGGCGCGCTGGCGCCAGTCTGGGAAATCGAAGGTTCTTGGATGACTCCGGAGGCCACCGGGACGATTCCCTTTTCTCCGTAGGGTGACCACCCTATATATGTATACACACTACGGGTCTCAACGATACAGATGTTCCCGTATGTCACAAGGATTTTTCCGTAACCACGACGGAAGTTTTCTCGGGCCACCTTACATCTGTTTAGACTCGTTGACAAGCTTTTTATAAGGAGAGATAGGTTTATTCTCTGTGGCATGTATGCTGCACGGAGGAATAACGCGAGTTGTATATGTCTTTCATCCATAAATTGAACTTATTTACTTAAGCGATACTTTTCAGTTATGACACGCAAAGAATATAACAATAAATTGTGAGGTCTTTTCTCAAAGAGATAGATAATTTTTTTCACTTGTATGTTTTACCTAAAAATATACATATATAAATATAATTATATAATTATACAATTTTTAACATGAAGTAAAATTTCGTGTTGCATTTATGTATATATATACATAATGATACCTTCTCCGTTTATCTTTCCTTTTATCTTTCGATTACTTTCCATATAATATCGACAAGAATCTGCGTTTCATCACGGTGAAGCGCAATACTAGGCACAGTAACGGGTTAAATAAACACCGCGTAATTTCAGGAACGTTTCCTAACGACGTTGCATCTGGTGTACGCGATCTTGTGTAAACAGACGGGATCGAGACGAGCCACTCGAAACGTTCGCGAAGGGTTGCTAGTTTTCTTAAGTCAACCAATGAAGGCTCCGTGCTCGTTTGAGCCAGGTTAAGGTACCACTCGACATTGATTTATCCCAACTCGTAATCTGTATGGACGGTGTTTTTTTCGGAACGCAGCGCCAGTAGTGTCGTTGACGTTAAGATTTTACTCCTTCTTATCGAACGACAAGATATTATCTTTTTAATTTCTGAAATGTTTTCCAAGACATTCAGTCGCGCTTAAAATCGCGTAGAATCAAAAGAACTATAATAAGCATTTCTTTTTCTAACATTCGGACAATATCGTATGCGCGTATTTCATCGCATGTTACCAGAAAACGACGTTGGAAAAGCTGGACGGATTGGACGACGCGTCGCGTCGCGTCGTCGAGAATTGCCGCAGGGTCACAGCAATTTTTGACACCGTCGTAAAGTCGTCGACTTCCGCGTACACATATTCGGGGGGGAGGGGAAGAGAAGGGGATAGACGAGGAAGCGGATGGAGCTATGACTTCCGGCTCGATTCGCACTAAACTGTATCCTGTAATTCGGCGGGGTTAGTGTTCGCGTGTGGCGCGGCGCGGCGCGGCGCGGCGCGGTGCGACGGGCAGGAAAAATTCCAGGTCGCGCTAATAAACTAAATACGGCATCGGAAATGAGAGACCGCGGGTGTATTATTTATACTCGCGCGCTTCTATGGTGCCGACGGCGGCTTTAATGTGCTGCAGCGTTGCTCGCCGCGCTCTCGCAGTTTATACAACGCAATAACGTTATTAGGTGGCTGGCATCCGGTATAAATTTCACCACCACCATCGCCACCGCCACCACCACCACACCGACCGGCACCACCATCGTCATAGACCACGCCGGCCACCGTCGCCACTAACACCAACACACACCGGCGCTCGCCCCATCGCGCGAGCCATCGTCGCCGCTCTTCGCCACTCTTCTCCTCTTCATTGTTGTCGCCCTTTTCCCGCCGCCGCTGTTGCTGCTGCTGCTGCCGCCGATGCGACGCGATGTACCCGCGCTCTCCTGTCGCACAGCGTTAAAGCATGGCGTCCTTATGGGCTCGAAACTTTGTCGCCGATGATTACATGAACCGTCGACTGTATTAATTACGGAACAGCTGCGCGCGCTTGGTGTTTTCGGCGTCACTCGCTCTGTTTAGCGTTGAATAAAACTAAACTGCGGTGTACGGGAGGAGCAATCCAGGCGATTGAATCGCTTCGCGTAAAACAGACGAATTTAATAGCATTGCATTTTGGTGGACGGTGGTGCTGCTTTTACGAATTCGCGAGAATTTTTTTACGTTAAACTAATATCCGAATAAAATGTAAATTTCCTTTGTTACGTAATATTGAATGAACGACGCAAAAATAATTTCCAAGGTTGATATCCCGCGGCGGGAAGAGCCGGGTATTTTTTTGTCGGCCCACCGTTGCCGATAATACCATTGGCAGAGTCCGCTATAAATACCGCTCGAAACGTCATTATTAACGTTTGCGACACCAATGCGTCCGTCCTCATTTCTGCCTGTCGCCCTTCCATCGTTGCACACCGACGCGACGCAACGTATTCCCTCCCCGATTGCAATTGCAATATGTTAAAGCATGTTTTTATGATTTCAAAAATTTGTCGTTGGAGACTACATAACCCGTTAGCCGTATTAATTATAGAGCAGATGCGCCGCATTTTGAAATGCACATCGAAATTATTTCATGCGCAATTCACGAGCGTTATGCGCGAAGCGCCGGCGAATTTTTGAGTACTTAACTCAATTACCCGATTAATTCAATCGCGCGAGCATGAATGCCGCGCGGGAAGAAGCTCGTATATTTTTTTCCAGAGGTACGTATAGCGCGTGTTTCGAACACTGGGTGTTCGCTCTGCTTTTTTCGCTTTTTTTTTTTTTTATTTATGAGCGCGATTATCGCACACTTGAAATCAGGCATCCTCTTATTACGTGTCGCGTACGCGACAAACAACGATTTGGCAAATTGCGGCATACGTTTTCTGCGAAAACGTTACAACACGAATTATTTTGTGCCGTTAGTGCATGCATCACAACGCGTTCATTGTTGTAGTTAGCGAGTTAACAAACGACGGTAATGTATCAATCCACTTTACGGCGCCGGCACCCCGATCCAGAATAAAACAAATATTTGTAAAATAAAAAAGCATTGTCGATCAAATTCCTTAGATCATAATAATGTGTAACAATCACACTTTCTTCCTCCTTTAAAATTAAAAGAAAAATACGCATATGCTCAAATTAATTTCAGAAAGACAGTCGATCGTAATGTTTGCGAGAATTTAATAACTAGAGACTAAATAATCAAGAGAGAGAGCGATACCCCTTATTTAACCGAAATTAATACCAGTATTAGCGCGTGTATCGACGAAAGCCACACACAACGTTCGACCCCCCTGCAGGAAATTATTGATAATCGCATCAATATCCGCGCGATTGTCAGGCACAGCGTACCAATAATTTATGCACAATTGGACGTGGGTATCGATACGGTGCAAGCAACCTGCAACACATGTCGCTCTATTAATAACACTGCAACCGGGTGCTATAGATGCCTCACTAATTCATCGAAAAGGGTATCTCGCCTGTCGCTTTAGACGTCTCACGTTATTCTTCTCTTTCACGCGGCAACAAACGACTGAACGACAAACTCCACTTTTTTCGTGTACGATCTTGGGGGAAAGAGGTGGGAAGAATATTACAATGGCATGGTAATCAAAGATCTTCATTTGATGCGGAATACATTCGAAGAAGGGTATAATTCTTCACGCGAAACGTTAAGAATGATATTACATGGAATTATCCAGAGTGCGAGTCAGTCAAGGAAATTCTTGCACGAATACCCTTACATGAAAATTCAATGACTTTTTAAACAAAATTTGTTCGAGCCAATCTAATAGGTGGAAAAAGCCGTAATTACGAAAAGTGATATTTCGCTTCCCCCCTCAAGCAAATCAATGTGTTTCGTTACGCGTATACGTCATGTAAGCCTATGCTAGCGCAATTACATTTGCATTTATGAGCTCGATAGGATGCGCGGATCTTAGAATCATAAAAAGTATTCGAAGAAGGCAAGCGTGAAAGAAGAACGGGGGAGAATGTTATGTATTGATGCAAAAATATGATAGCTTTAATAATTATCCATAATTTTCCAACACGCGATAATAGTATACGTGCGGCACTATGCGTGGCGTAGAGAAAATATCTCACAATCTCCTCCGGACCTTATCCTTCCTCTCGAAGTGCCCCGAAGGTTCTACATGTCGAAATACCTTTTTCATATAGTCGCATGCATGTCTATCTGCGAATACACGGATTTTCCGTTACGGAGAGAAGCTGTCATTGACAGGATATCGTGCGCGTTTTAAGGACCTCGAGCGACAACGAGACTCACGTTGCCGCTGGGCTGCGCGCGTTGTCACGGCACGCTCACGTGCAAAACGCGTGGCCCGCGCGACCTCGCACGCCGAGGATAAATCAAAAGTATGAAATGCGCCCGGCAGAATTTCGGTATATTTATGGCGGGGGGCAATTCAATGATACACATTCCCGGTCGCGCGTAATAGTCAATATTTCCATCAGAAGCACACCTACAACTCACGCCTACGCTGACAAACCGCGCGGCCAGCGGTGCTTTATGAGAGTTCAGGGCGCATTTGACAGCGCGATGCGCCGAGCCAGTTGTTGCCATTTATTCGCGCATTACATTACTCTGTTACCGAGTCGAGTGTCACCAGCTAATTTGCATTATAAGTGCCGCTGATGTTATCATCGCTTCGCTTATACGTTATGGCGCCGCTGACGGATCGTCAACGGCGGCCGCGCGCGATCGTTCATGTATACGTTATAGTGCATATGATGCTGGCCGCGCGCGAGTGCATCCCGCCCTGCGCGCCCCGCTCCCCCTCCCCGGTCATCTCCCTCCCCCTCCCCCACTACTCCCCGATGATCATCGCAAAAGCGACCTGGCCAGTGATAATCGCGTCCGATTCGCGCCTATCGAGCTGTTGACGGCCGTCCGCAACGCTACGCGCGATATCGCGGCACCGCATGAAAATAATTATTGCATTTTAATTGTGAGGACGCGGGAGAATTGCATCGACCAGCGGTCAGGCTTAAGCAATTAATTAGAGCTGGATATTAATAGATAACGCGCGTTTAGATGCGGAATTCAAATGGTATGATGATTAATGATGACGTGTTAGCAGGAAATGAAACTCTTCATCAACAATATGAGCTATCATTTCTTGTATTGCATTATGCCATTATTAGCGTTATACCATGTTAATGCGCGCTATACTCGTTTGCACCGTAAAATGAAAAGCAAAGGAAATAGAAAGAGGAAAAGTAAATTGCGCGGTGTAGTGATCTAATTTTATTCAAATCAAATGTTTCGATTGATCGCGCGATTTCGCGTCGAGTTAGTTTTAGCCATCTTTATGTAATTTCTATTGTCTAAGCGATGAAAAGAATATTAATCAATTTAATCGCAATGTCCATAATACTTATATTTCAGACCATGTCTCCGTCAAACACGAGAAAAATTAATTAAGCGCCACTCTCACCTTAGAAAAATCCGGCCCTTTCTGCTCGTAATAGCGTCGCACGCTATCCTTTGAAAATATTTTCGAAATCATGACATGCTAGATGCCGACGTTATTAGACGGTGGCCGGTAGTAATTACTACTAAATAATTTCGCCGCGCGAGAGCTACCCGCCGGTCCACCAGCAGATGTAAATTCCCTCCGCTCGGTCGTGTACTTGGCTGTATGAATTCCGCACGAGTGTCCGAGTGTCCGACCTTTCTCATGGATGTATGTCGAGCGGCTGAAGTAGAGATTGAAGTGAAATATGAAAATCCAAGTTCGGCCGAAACGAAACCCAGGACTTTTTTGTATTGGGCGCATCGCGCGTTTAACGAGGCGTATAAGACGGAAAAACATAGGTAATGAACGTGAACAAGAGCGCGTCTCTCTTTTTCGCGGCCGGCGCATCTCGTAAAAATCGTTCCCTGAATCATGGAAAATAGAGGGGAGAAAAAACGCAGTAGAAGAAAAATACGGGTATGAGATAGAGAAGCGGACCGGAATGTAATCGCGGCCTCTCCGACGATCGATATTATTTTGGATTAACATTCGCGAAAGCTCCGTTGGTTAATTTTATAATTAGCTCTCTTCATCGAGAGGACAGTTCGTGCCCGGAATTTATTAGGCGTCTCATATATTCTGCTCGAAGATTCTACGAAAGATAACAGTTCCCCTATTTGTAAACGTAATGTTGTATCATCGTAAGGAGAGAGTCTTTAAAAGTTCACAAATTAGGTAGAATTATTTCGATTCTCCATTTGACAAACATTTGTCGTTAAATCATCGCGCGCTAATTCACGCAAGACGATACGCCAGGAAGTCCGTCCCGAGAGAGAAGCAACGTTTTAAAATATAATTACCTTATCTGCGCCTCGTACAAATGACACCCGCGACACAACACGTGCCGCTTTTCATGCGTGCGCGCGTGTGCGTGAGCTCACACACGAACGCACACGTCGCAGTACAATTATTATGTGCGCTCAGTGCACCTACAATGCAAGCGGGAATCCATTTCGGAGTGGCAATTCGCGCGATACATTATCCAGTCAGCGTCGGCTATACGATTCGTAGTCGTTTCAGCCGCGCCGTAATAACGCCGACATTTCAACCCTCGCTTCGCCCTCTCCTGTAAGGGGGTGACCAGGGGCCGGAGCGGAGGTGGTTTCGCGGTGTCAGCGACAATATTTTCCTTCGACGGGGGTACGCGTCATACACCGATACTTTTTTTCCCCGGTCCCCATTCCTCTCTCTCTTCCTCGTCGACGCGGCGCGGCGGACGAAATAACTCATTTCGAGAATGCGTGCCAGCCAGTGAGGCTGTCGATAGCAGCCACGTCTGGGATACATGACAACGTGTAAACAACGTGGCAGGCGGCCCTGTCAGACTCGCGTTGTATTTCGAGAGCAGAATGGAT